TAGTACTCATTACTTAATAGATAAATATGTAAAGAAATCAATTAATAAATTATTTTATTTTGTTAAATTGTTAATTTATGTACTATAAAATGGATGAAATCAAAAGTTTTCAAATACTCATCATGAAATACTATATAATATACTTTATTTTTAAACGTGAAWATATTATTTTATTATTTATGATTAAAATCAATAACAGATAATTTAGTACAACAGTGCACTGCACAATCATATTTATTTTATTAGTACCTATAAAAGCTATAATGACTAAATTAATACATAAGATTTCACCTGTTCAGGTCTGCAGCRTTTAGATATATAATAGTTGTCCTATTTATAAATTCAGGATTATTAAATAGCAAAAATGAACTAGGCTTTTAATTTAACCAACTATAAGAAAATATAACGTTAATAGAAAAAATCTATATCTAAAGAATAATTAGAATAAAATAACAATACTAAATTACATATAAATATCATTAAAGGAAAGAAAAACTTTAAGAAAATAAGTCCAGATTAACATTTTACTTAAAAATTTAAGATTAAAGGTCAAAAGTACATCATTATCAAATGTAATGATTTTACACAACCAATAAAATTATAATATTGAAAAATTATTACTCATATTTAATATATACCAATATTTTTTTAAATTAAATAAGTTGAGGAATATAAAACAAACTTACTATTTTATTTTTGTCTGTAGTACTAGTTGACAAACCAAGCATCATTAAATGTTGACTGACCACATCAAACGGTACAATTATTGTTTGGCCAAAAACAGATGCCACACCTCCCGCAACCATTGATCTAATTTCTGGCCATTGCTGTAAATACGGAGCTGTCATATGTCTAGTTTGTTCGTATGCACCAATGTACGCTGCACCAGATAATACTTGAGCCGAACTCACCCAAAAACCACGATAAAGTCCTGACATACCTTCCATATGATAAATACGATTAGCTGCATCCAGTAAACCTAAAATTAAAATTGGTGTTGTCATWAAATTAATTTTACATAGTAATGAAGTAATGGAAAAATTAGCTTAAATAGCTAATTAAAAATTAGCTTGATATAAAAATAATATCAATCAAATTTATTAAATTTGAAAAGTTTATCTGTATAAA